GACGTCTCTAACACTCATTTGAAAGTGCACGATCATATCGATAGGCTCAAAGTATCTCAAGGGGCATCAAATCGGATCACCGCTTGAGACTGGAAGGAAGCTTCATCCACAGGGGTCATATGTTACGTTTTCGTCTTGAGCAGCACGTCTCGCGTCTGCAAGAATGAGATCACAAATGCAGTTTTGGTAAATTGAGCAATGAGATATAAATGACCTGCTCGACCTGAATAGTGAATGTCATTTTAACTTGATGTAAAGCTAAAATTAATACTGACTATATTAGATATTATATACAGCACTAAAATTGGTAGTGGCATATCTATACTTCGACAGAGCTATCTAAATTATAACCTAATATTAAAAGTTAACTTTCAATGATAATGCAACCTTCAATTACGGACAATGAAACTATCTTTTCATTTGGAGTATCATAAACCATATTGTCTTCAGTCTCTATCAAGATAATTCTTTTCGGTATTACTTCTGGACAACTGTGTTATGTCTGTGTACATTATAATGCAGTTTGTAGTTTGAGGATTCGGGAGGTCTTTTCATAGTATGGGGTCTTGTATTCATGATATTCTGTTTATGGCAACGGGAAATATGTGCGCAAAAGACATTTGATGATGCCGTCGATGTGAACTTCCTACCTACCAATATAGATCGTGACGCATGATATAATGCCTAGATGAGAAGTGTGCTGTGCAAATCTTAATCGCTTTTTGGTTTTAAATAAGCACATCTACGCAAATTTTGCAGATTCGACATACCAAATCTAGCCGTACAAGATGATCGAGCAAATGGTACACAATCTACTCATGGAAACATATTGTGGTAAAAATAGCCCGATGACGATACAACATCTTTAAATACCTAGATCTACGATAGATTATGCAACTGTGTACACGCGAAGATTTAAATCTCAACAGTCTGGGCCGGCTTTAAGAGAGTTGAAGCAAACTTAATTCCAAGTGATATTCAAGCCCCTTGTTGGATAAAGTTGTCAAGCACATAATTCTTGATACTTGAAGCTAACTTAACGACTGAAGCGAAATCTAGAAAGGCAAGACCACCTCAATCAGACAGTGGAATGAGCTATAACACTACATTCAAATCCCACGGCTTCGCTGTGTTGGATAATCTTCTACATCAATTTTTTTCAAAATCCGTCTGCTCAAATTTTCTGGTAAATATAGACAGCAACCCTTGTGGTTTAAGGCTTCTTCTTACGACAAGGCATGACGGAGATTTGTATAGCGTAGAACCTAGCGAAATGTTCGTTCTATCAAAACAATTATAATTCTTGTATCTGCTCTTTTGCATCTGCAAGACAAATTGGTAGTTTAAAATTTTCGCTCGAAGCAACCAACTGCTGAGTCATTTTAATGCAAGACACAATTTATAGCAGAAAAAAATGAAATCAACGTCGACGTGGGCGAAGTTTATACTGTCGATGCTTACACGTTTCAAATGTGATGGCATGCACGCAATTACTCGTAGGATAGTAAGCGCTGCAATACTTTAATGAGAAACTATCTCAGATCAAGATTATTTATTACGTAGAGATTCTATGCACAATACAGATAAGTCGATCAATCATCGTTTTAAATAATATGGAGACCCAACCTCCTACGACAGAGCATGCGTCGAACAAGGGTCTTAATCAAATACACTTTTTTGCCTTTCACAAAAATTATAATACTAATCACGCATTCGTGGATTGATCACTAAAATCATGCCGCGAAATAAAAATTTAAATAATATTTTGTTGTGATGCACAGTGTTAGACCTCGACATCCAGTGCACCAGCCATTCCTGTGCTCATTGAACTATTAACTAAGTAGCTGGTTCCTTGGCGCTGCAACGGCGTGCGCGGCGAAATATTCTTCATTTTAAAAAATTGCAGCAGTTGAGTGGGGATTTCGGCCAGAGTTTCCTGCCGACAAACCAAAGAATTAGCCTCTTAAAAATAGACAGGTCATCGAAAGCCATCCATACCTTTGCAAGACGCGCCGGGTTGCGACGAAACTGGTTAAAAGGGACAAACTGCACGCTAATGAACAATAAAAGCACCAAAGATTATTAAAGATGAGTGATACCTTAATATAGTTAGAACAAAGTAAACGCACATATCTCGTGCAGCTTTGACATGCCTGGAATCGATAAGCACCTTTCCGTCAGCATCGAGGGCGCTCATCGCACTAAAATCAGCATTTCCTACTCCAACAATCACTACGGAAAGTGGAAGCGTCGACGCCTGCACTAATTCATCGATTGTTTCCTGAAAGTCCATGATGATACCATCCGTAACGATAAGAAGCACAAAATATTTCAAACTTCCTCGACCACCATGTTCTGCTTGTGTAGAGAAAGATCTTGCTATAGCGGAAGCCTGATGTACGAGTGGAGCAAAATTTGTCGGACCATGAAGCTGCACAAATTGAAAGGAATCGGTATACGCTTTCAAAACACCTCCGATCCCCTCCACTTCTGGCTGATACGGATCGAATGTTAATGGAAAACAGTGATTCACAGCTCCGTTAACCAAACCTCCAAAGCCATACACCGGAAATCGCTTGTCCGAATCATAAGGCTCTAAAATGGCACCAGTTGCAGTAATTGCAGCTTGGTAGTCATTCATCTGGCCTTGATGATTTCCGCCTATAAAGTGTAGGCTCGATGGATCAGACGGAGTTCCGTTTGACGCCGTGTAATCAATGCCAACAATCAAGCTGACCTCACAGCCACCACGTAAATATTCAACAAACGTGTGCTGCTTGATTAATTCAATCTGCTCAATGATCAGTACGCCTGAATTCTTGTACCTTCTGCCCTTTCTTGCTTGCCTTTCCGGATTTATCAAATTTGTGCTTCGAATTTCTCCAGTTACCAATTCTAGTGCTTTGATCGTACAGCTACCGATAAACTGGTGCTTCCCACTCTTTTCCCAGTCCATGCATTCAATCTTTAGCATCCTAGACAAATCGCCATTACACAAAGTTTGTACACTTATGGTCGCAAGACGCCATTTTGGGTTACAATTGTCCATAATAACTTCGCTACGCCACACCAAAATCCACGACGATGCTGCAAATGGGTCAGATCTCTCATCCCGTAGACGATAGATATTCAAAAAAGGGTCTGATGCGCCAAACCAACCATCTTTGTTGTCTAGCTTAGAGGCAGTAAATCGGACACTAATTGATTCAGAGCATGTTGCAACCTCTTCCGCTTCGATAACTACGTGGCCAGATAACTTGTGTATATGTTCTCTACTCTTTTCGCGCTGCAACAATTTTAGCACAACGGATTGCCCCGTAGAAGACATCAACTGACCCATTGTTATCTCTACACACCCGAGAAAATCGTGGTCAGATAATCTTTCCGACGAACTATCTCGATCAAACACTTCAATTCGCAATCGTTGAACTTCTTCAAAGAAATAATCAACCTGAAAAGACTTGACAAATCTCGGATCGGCCGTGTTGTAGATTGTTTCTGTACGGCCAATTTCGCTCCATCCTCTGTGCTGAGCTTCCTGCATGTATACCACAATAAATGGATCTGACTGGCTCAAAAAATCGGACCTTTTCAATCCTCGGCACCGAAATCGAAGCTCTACGACACTGGAAGGTGTCGGAGCCAAACCGTTCGGCATTGCCGCCACATTGTTTCTCATCGAAGAAAGATTTTCAAGTTGAAGAGGTCCAGACCCACCATGCAACGACATATCTCTTAAAAAAGGAGCTGGTGGATGTTGTGATGACTCCATAGAAAGCCTAGAATTCTGAATGGGCGGTTGTTGAGAGTAAAAACTCGCACCAAAATTCGAAGTATGATGGCTATTGTTAGAAGCATACGGCTGCTGAACAAATGAGTCTCTATTAGGAGCCGACGGTGCGTGGTGCTGTCCGATGTCCGGGTACAGGGACGCAAATGGTTGCGATTGGGTGTGACTTTGAAAGGAGCCGCGCCGATCTTCGGGAGGGGTCTGATGGGCTACTTGGTACCCATGATTTCGGTAGTCGATGGGGGGAGCAGACGGCGAGTGTCCTTGAGGTTTTGGAGGGAAGTGCGAATACATGATTAATTTCGAAATGAATTTCTACGACCGTTTTTTGCATTTAGGCTTGAGTAGTTAAAAAATCCAGTTTGGAAAGAATCGAGTTTGTTCTTTTTCACCCATTCGTAGTCAAGGAAAATGGTACGAGTCTATTTCAGAACAGTGTAACCATGACATCCAAACCTGCGAAGAAATACCAAACTTCGTGTTTTTCATGGCTTTTATATCCATTTAGATGTAGCAGATGGTGCAGTAGAAGTCTGGCTGGTCCATCGGGTACAGTACCTAAGCTAAATTTTAGAATCTGTCAGAGAGACTAAATTCTAACAGTCTCTATACATCTAATCTGGAAGATGTTGCGAAAGGAGGTCTTGTACATTTTTTCTTTTTAAATTGCTTGTCAGGTTTGCAATCGCTGACACTACCAAAATTAAACACCGTACATTTACTTGGATCTAGAAAAAACTTCTGTGAAGTCAAGGGTATACATACCGCAGCAGGATAAAATTGTTACCCAAAATACAATGAATGCCATGTGACCTATTATGGTGTACGCACATGTAACACTGTTGATTCTCCGACAAAGGTCAGACGGTACGGATGAGAATGACACCACTCCACGTGACAAACATAATCAAATGTCTTGAATAGTACTTGGCATTTGTAAGTGCGTATCGCATTAGAAGGCACCTAAACATTTTCTCGCTCAGAATCACTTAAGCACTTTAGTTTCGACTCCTCATAGTTGAGATCTTTAAAGCAGAAAATTAACAAAGCCCAGCAGCCCTCGGCTTGAAGTGCTTCATTTTGCGGATGACTCTCCATTGCCTTAAACACAGCACTGAGCGCACCTTGCTCTCGAGCGAAAACCAGATCTGGCTCTGAAAAAGGTTGAACAAAATATTAAGCATGACTATTTAGCTCTTGTTGGACATACAGGCTGTTTGTCTCACCATAGGCAAGGCGCAAGAATATTAAGGGTTTGCTTAAAGTGGACTTCTCATACAGAAGTGCTATCTATTCCGCTTTTGAGTGGTGTGTACAGACCCACCGCCTGTGCGCTTATATATGCGGACTCTTTACGTCAAAGGTTAATCTATGTAGGGTGTACGGCAACATCTTGCACTTCGGACTACTTGTCGTTAAAGATACCACCGGAGCTTTAGACTGCAGGATGTAGCACCCGAGACAACTGTAATAAGCTCTTATTAATCGTTGTTTTCGAAAGGGTGATCACATTGTAACTGTCATATTTCATATTTAACACTTACATCTTTGTACATTTTTACTTTTATAGCTGTACGATTTTTACATGATACATGGTATAATTGTGAAATTCATAGGTGCCGAAATATCGGTATTTATCGAGATCCTTCATCGTATAAAGATAGCAGATAGAGAACGCATATATTTGTTATTAGCCTGTCTTATGTCAATCCTAAATTTATTCTCTTGAAATAGCAGACCAAGTGAAAAAGATGTTAGTTTCTCTGTAACTCTCCAATCCAATTTTTGTGCGTTTGCGAACGCAAATTTGGAGAATCAAAGCTTGCTCTATGCAACCGCGCTGTATTTATAGTACTTGTTGGTCGATTTCATGTCCTAGTCGTGAAAAGACTGCACGTTTTGTATCGTCGGAAAATGAATTGATGAATGTCTGTTCTCATTAAAAAACGTAAGAAAAGCTTTCGTCTATCATGGGTCCTGATGGGATCAGAGAATTGCCAATACAGAGCCAGAAGCGGTAGTCGCTTGCCCAGAGGAACTTGAAGATTGGGCGTTCACTGGCCCAAGAGCTTCCAACAGGGAGCAAACGAGTCCTACTATGAGACCGCTGATATTAAGCGTCCGGACACTCGAGGGCCGAGAAATAGAAAACTTTTCCGTTCGGTTGAGAAAGGCTGAGATGGCCTGATTTGTAGACCCACAGCGCATCGCTATGGCAATTTCCAAGCTCGGAAGTCGCGCAAGAGGATGAGAGCATATCTGCAATACCTTGAAAAAGAAGCTTTCTCAGTAAGAAAACGTTTAATAGACAGATGTTTCGGCTAGTTAGGGGTGTCGGGCACATTTGACGTTGTTATCTACCCGTTAAGAGAAAACTAGCTTAGCTTTCATGTGCGTGTATGCAATGTTGACCCAAAGACGTCGAGGTTCGCCGCCATCGTCCAATCTCTTCGTCTTCAAAACGGCCGTGAAAGCACCCATAAACAGAGGCGCAAGAGGAATCAATGTCTACACCGCTAGCATATTTTATGGTTTAGCGCTAGCAGCAGTGTGGCCTACCAAAATCCGCGGCAAAACGATTCGTATGCCCAACCTACTTATGCCTTGGTAAGCTCAATTCAAAATATCTTACTAAATCTGGTAACGGTTTTCCAAAGGCTAAGGGGTAGACATTTGTGGTCGAATTGATTAAGTTTTATACGTATTTACTCGTCGCTTCAATACAGACTTTGTAATGAGTGATGTCTTGATGGTAACGTGTACCAAGTTATCGGAGATAACGGTTCAAGAGTTAGCGATTACGTCAAGGTTCGAGGAGATTCCAGACGGAAAGAATTTAATATGGGAGAAGTCGTTAACCTTCCATCTGTTTTCTCTATAACGAGATTGGGAGATCAAGAACACGTTGTATAATAAAAATGCATAGTATATATATACTATATATGTAGATAGTTTACAAGTACATAACCAGCAGAAAGTTAAGCAGAAACAAGATCACTTTTTTAAATTCGTCACCGCGCGTTACATTTTGCAGCACTTCTTGGTCCTTGCTTTCTAAAGACCGTCGCCATCGCCATAACCAGAGAATTCGTCGCCGAGACCGCCTCTATCGCGCTTATTTTTTGACTAGTAGAGAAAATGTGTGTTTCTTTGGTAGAAAGAACGAGTTGATGTTGCGAGTGGCTAAAAGCACCAAGTAGCGCTTATGTTGTTGCTGTTCCAATGCTCTGATGCAAACGCTTGTTCCATTCTCATATAATTTCACATAATGACTGATCTGGTAGAGGCTCAAGCAAATCAGATAAATGCCCAAAATCCAATTTAACAAGCATTCACAGCGCAAAGAGAGCCGCGAGAAGTGAGAAACAAAATGAGAGCGGAAGGACTCTCAAAGCCGAAATATTATGGACGAATTGATGAGAGCGCGGGCTTGTAAATTCATCAAGTAAAAACGTTCGTTATGGCGATGAATACCGATCCGATGCAGAGTACAGAAACGCAACAACGATGTTTAGCGATGATTGTAGCCAATTTTAAAGGACTCACCGCTGCTTGGTACCAGGATAGTGCGCAGTCGACACGAGCACTGCCAGAGACGCTCATAGAGTTCAGGCAAGAAATTCAACCATAGTTTGAGCCAGCGGATTTAAAAGAGCGATTAAGAGAGGAGTTATTCAATATAAAGCAGAAGAATTGCAAGCATTTGCTGGGAGATTCGGGAATTTTGTTCCCAAGTGATCGATATGTCAGAGCGTGACAAGATTGCAATATTTAATCGAGGGTTGAGAGTGCGTACGAGAGAAGAGGTGCAAAAGTAAAATTGCAGCACCGTTGAGGAAGCCATTCAGACTGTGCTAGAGGTTGAAAGAGCGCACAGGTTTTAGCTAGGAATAAATATTGGAAGGCGAAATCAAGACTACAACAAGAGATACAGCAGACAGAGGTTCAAAGACAGACGATTCAACGCGAATCTGACGACATTGAAATGAACAATGGAATTGTGAGAAGAGGAAATGGAGACGAGTGAATCAGCAAAGCAACAATGCTCGTCAGAACAAGACATGCTTCAATTGTGGAAAGCAAGGACATTATGCTGCAGAGTGCAGCAGCCAAGACGTCAGAATAACAACGAATCAAGACCAATGGGGCACAACAATTACTCAAGAGAATATGTGAGACACAATGATGTAGCTGAGCAAGAAGCAAGCAAGGAAGTGGAAGTCTCTGAAAAGTAGGAAGAAACTCAAGTGTTCAGGATGAACACCAGTTAAGTGAATGGTCGCGAAGAGGAAGCAAAGATGCGCAAAAAAATAGCAAAGTCTTGCATGCTGATGGAAAGAATGGGACTGATGAATGGAAAACAAGTCAGAATCCTCATCAATTGTAGAGCAACAGACATACTATGTCGACCTGGATTTGGTCAAAACGTTGTTGGAAGCAAAGAAAGTTGGATTGAAGACTTTGATGGAAAATATTTTGAGGCAAGCGCGGCAAATGAGTTTAGCGAATCACTCACATTTGATTGACGGACTTTCAAGAATCTGCATATGATAGAATGGGACCTTGAAGATAAGTAATATGACATCATATAGGGAAAGCCATGTTTTTTTTGCTTAATCCGAATACACTTTGGAAAACGAAGAAGCTCTTAATGGTAGACATTGATAAAAGGGAAAGGGCAAAAGTAGCCAGAGCAGAAAAAGAGCCACTTCGAAGATGAGATCGAAGCATGGATGATGAAGATAAGCGTTGTATCCGAAACAGTACAAAAACATGCCAGCAGAGGTGAAGAAACTACCGGATATATTTCGAGATGTGTTTCCAGATGAGATATCCAGTAAATCGCCTCCAAAACGAGCTGTCAAGTTTGGCCTGACATTGAAACCTGGGACGAAATCGAAGAATACTCCATCATTTCGAAACAAAAGTCGAGCAAGAATCATCGAATAAGTTTGTGCAAAATGATTTCAATTGTCAAACAGTAACTGTATTTAAAACATATTTTAGACTGCCGAGATAAGATGCAGAGGGGTATATGCCTTCACGTGCCACATGGCTCAAGACTGCGACGGCAGACACGCCAACTCGCTGGGTAATATTTCGTCATGTAACCTCTTAAAAGGAGAACCAAAGATTTTCCTGCCGAACATTGACGACCTATTCGATCGAACGTTTGGATGCAACGTCTTCACGTGATATATCTTACATCAGGATACCACCAAATGCTTGTGGTTCCAGAAGCAAGAAAAGACACTGCGTTTTGCACGCATCGCGAAGTCTATGGATAGTGTGTT